TTATAATGGAGAGTGCAGCTCTGACCATCTGCCACAACATACATATCTGTGCAGTTGGCCAGTCTTTTAGAGTATGTAGATACTTAGGTAGTGTGGATAAATACCCTTGGCTATGGAAAAAGTGAATACACTTTGTAATAGCACTTGAAATAATGCAGACCCAGATGTGGTGACATATATTTTATATATTTGCCTGTAATGTTTATATTTTAATTAGCTGCAATGGAAAGTGCCATTGATAACTTGACTCATTCTTTTTTATATATGATAGTTTCCTGCCTGAATTCTTACAGCTTTGAAAGTTGAATGTGGCATTGAATCTTAGTTGAATACACTCATTCACTCCCATACATGGCTATATGGGTTTTTATTTCTCTAGAGACTTGCCTTCACATCCATACGTGGTAATAATCAAATGCAATGTAAACATCTAGTTTCAGCAGCTGAGAAAGAACAAAAGTTTGTTGGAATGTCCCACATTTAAACAGATCTACCCCTACCAATCCCAACTACCCATACACTTCCCATTGACTTACACCTCCCAAACCAGGCCAGAATCTCATAAGGGCAAATACAACAGTATAAGCCATCAACATTACAACCCCTTCTCCATAAATGATACACCCCCTGTTGGTTATTATGTTGAATTTTTGGAAACCTCCACATTATTCAACCACACCCCTGGCCTTCAACACCCCCTTCAACTAGCATATATTTTAAACTATTTGCTTCAAACACCTGCATGGTTATTAGGAACGTGAGTCATCTTGCATGTCATACATCCAAAATGTTCAACACTTCAAAGTTTAAACATTACAAAATATAACAAAAGGTACAGTGATTACATTTGTTCCTAAAGGGCACGGTGGTTATAGTTCCGCTATGCTTTTAGTTTTGTTGTAATTTAAGACAGAATTAAAGATTTCTGAATCTGTTAAAATGTGCCTTTTATTTATGTTCGAGTTTTACTTCCTCTCAAAAGGTCATGCAACGAATCAATATGTTTGTTCTACGTTTTGGAGTAACTCACTGTTTTATGTGATTTTTTCTGCTGTTGCACATCCATGAACATATCATCTCAACTGCTTAAACATGTATAATATTTCGTGTTGCTTGGTTGAAAGTCAGCACATGGGAATTTGGTAGGGATGTTGTGCACAGATCGAAGGTTATTTTGTTTTTGTTGACTTGCACATTGGGTACAAAATTGTTATTTACAACATTGTTACTCGAGTGTCTACGATTGAATATATTGGTGGCCATTAATGTGGTAGTAACGAAATAAAATTCAGTGAAACAAAATAAAATATCCGTTCTCTAATAATCACATGTTCGATAAGATAAATAAAAATAATATGGATTACCCTTTTTCTGAGTATTTATCACCATATCTCGCATACTAAAATCGTTGGTTTGGTCGGGCATTTGCTTGAAGTAATGAACTACGAAAATGACAATTGCATTACTCTATTATTTATAAAATATACGCGCATTTACTTAATCTTTGTTAATCTCATAACATCTTTGTTAGCTGCAAACACAGTTTATGATAACTAAATATTCCTAAACTTTGTTTCCCCGGGCAGGTTCATGCGTCGCGGGTGTTATTGGATTCAAGATGCCACGATATTGTCTGTTTGGAGATACTGTGAACACAGCCTCGAGAATGGAATCCTCAGGCAAACGTAAGTCGAAAACAAATCGTTTCCCCAAGTAATCATTTCCCCAAGCTTTCACCATCACAACACGGTGTATAAGCATTTACTTGAATCCTACGAGTACATTTAAAACTAGGCTTACGTTACTTTAAGTATTTGTTCTCCCACTCGTTTTGTCGTTTTCTGAAACTGTTTACCTGGCAATCGATTTATCTGAAGAACTAGCTACCACATGTAACCATACCAATCACGCAAAATGGGCCACATATTACAAAAACGCGCGAGATTTAAATTCAACAACTTGTACTTGTAAATATACTGTACAACTTGTGTCCTCCGTCCATCTAATGATCAGCTACCTTATTTAAACAAATAAATAAATAAATTTCAACCTGGTTTGTGTTTTACAGCTTCGAAAATTCACATCAGCAAAGCAACATACATGGCACTTTCTAAATTTGGTGTTTTTTCCATGAAAAGAAGAGGGGAGGTTGAGATCAAGGTAAGTTGGCCTCTGATACTCGATATAGATTAATGAATATAAACGACCAGCTTGGCTATACATATTTGATCCATTCTGTAGGGACAATCACGTATACTCAATGTTGTTTGATGTTTGAGGTCAAGTACCTCGACTTTGCTTTAATTTTAAAATGCAGCCTGGCATTCTGATTAATGAAGGCACTCCACTTACAATTGTCTTCCATTTGGCCTTTGATTCTCTGGTGTAGATGGTTTTACAAAACATTGGAAGCCTTCAACTTTGGTGACATTTCACAAAATTATAAATACAGTTCCGTTTCGAATAAAAGCTGTGGTACCGGATTGTTTCTACAGCATAATGGAATAAGGTAAAGATATTATTAAAAGATTGTTTAAATTTTGTTGACACTAAAGGGAAGATGTTGGATTTGAGGATGGCTTGACATGTTTGGTAAAATACTTCGACAAGAAGATTATATAAATCAATTGAATCATTCTAAAAATGTACTTCTCAAACATATACTAGTATATAGTTACTTGGTGCTGTTACTGAAGTGTTAGGTGACATCTTGCATTTGATACTACAATCAGTCTCTCATGAGACAGCTAGTTGACTTGTCACGGACTTGTTGATGTAGGCAATGGTGTTATCTCACAGTGCATA